CGTCATCCCAACCTCAAACTTGCCGCGAATTGCAAACACCTTGTTTTGTTTTGTTGAGGGGTTGTTAGGTTGGCGTTGTTTGTTGAAGCACAGCTAACGATCAATGCGAAAGCGAGCGAGGCGCGGCGAGGCGTGACGGCCGCCACCCAGCTAACGATCGAGAGGCGCGGCGAGGCGTGACGGCCGCCACCCAGCTAACGATCGAAAGGCGTTGCGAGGCGTGACGGCCGCCACCCAGCTAACGATCGAGACAAAAGCGCGCGAGGCGCGACCAGGCGTGACGGCCGCCACCCAGCTACCGAGAGAGTGTGAGGGCGAGCGAGAGAGACATGAATCCGCCGACCCATCTCTGGGACGCCAGGTATTTTAGTTACTTTGAATGAACTAACGAATGTGTTTTTAGTGGGTTTGATTTGGGTGTGGTTTTGTGGGTGTGTTCTTGTTTTGGCACTTTTGTGTGTGTGTGTGTGTTTTGGTGTGACGGGTGTGCCTTGAGGGGGTATGGTTTGTGTGGGTGTGCTTCTTGCGGGCGTCCAGTTTGTGTGTTTGTTGGTTGCACGTGTTTGTTTGTGCCCGTTTGTTCAGCATGGGCGGTGAGCCCCCCTTTTGTTTTTATTTGTTTTCTGTGTGTGTGTGTGTGTGTTTTTTTATGGGCGTGGTGTTTGTGGGTATGTTGTTTCGTGGTTTATTTTTGTGTAAAGTAAAATCATTGTAGGTGTGTGTTTGTTGGTGTGTTTTTTTGTCGGTGTGATTGTTGATGGTGTGGTGTTTGTGGGTGTGTTCTTTTGTTTGGTGTGATGTTCTCTGGGCGTGACTTGTTGTGCTTTGTGCGCGTGGCCCACACGATAACTTGCAATGTATAGTTTGTTTATGGTCTGCGTCGCTGGCATAAGTCAAAGGGGCATTCCCATTTTTTAGTTTGTTTGGTGGGCTTATTTGTTATGTTACTGGTGGATGTGATTTGTGTGAGTGTGATTGTTGTATGTGTTTGTGCTTGTTGTGTGGCGGGCGTTCCTTGTGTGTGTGTCTATGTTTGTGGGTGTGCCTCTTGTCGGTGTATAGTTTTTTGTTATGCAGGCGTTGCTGTTTTGTTTTATGTTTGCTTGCCGCGGGTGGTGCGTTGTGTGTGCGTGTGGGGTTGGGGTGGTATGTTGTCCGCGTGTGTGTGTTATTATGTGTTGTGTGTGTTTTTAGTATGTATCTTGCTTCTCTTCATGGGTATGTTTTTGTGGGTGTGATTTGTGACTATTACTACACGTGCACGTACATGTACATGTACATATACATGTTCACGTACATATAGTGTAGCGTGGGTATGTACACTCATGGATTCACGCGTTCGTTCAGTTGTTCAGTCATTCATTTGTCCTTCGTTGCGTGCGCCAACTTCTAAGGGTTAGGGGTTCGGGTTTCGGGGTTGGGGTTGAGGTTTCGAATTTAAGGCTTCCGTCTCTTATTTTCAAAACAAGTGATACCACCAATGCTTAAGAGATTGGACAGGAGACTAGGCAACACATCGTTTATATATAGACCATATCTCCTGTATTTAAGAGAACAAGAGTCAAATCTTAACGATGTCTCCTACATTCATCTCCTATCCTTTGTTTATAAATTAGTTTTAAGAGAATCTCTTGCGTTCAGACGATTGGGATGGTCGGGGGAGCTGGATGCTCCCGACCAGGTGGTCTCCCTGTAGTCGGTGTACGCTGGCGGGGCGGCTGTGCCGGCTCTGGGCCTGCTCCATGGGCGCTGCTGCGATGCCCCGCTGTATGTGCTGGAGGGTTGGGTCTGCTCGTTGTGGCTTGCCCTGTAGGGTGGGGCAGGGGGGGCGGGTGCTGTCCTTCTGTCGGACCAAGGGCATGGGTGGCCCTTGCTGTCTTGTCCCTTGGGTGCGCTGGCCCTTGTGCCGCGATCTAGTAGGCTACGATACTTCTCTGTGGCCTTTCGCCATTCCACACGGAGATGGTGGTGCCTCACCAACTTATAAGCGTCGTAGCCCGCGGCTTCCCACGCCCGCAGGAATTCTTCGCGCAGCTCCCTTGTGTTCCTCCTGGGGCCCGAGTGGATGTCGACCCGCGGCAGACCCTGCAGGCTGCCTGCCCTGCGAACCCATCCTGTCCACGCCCCGTTGAATGCGCCTCCGAGTGCCTACTGTAGTCTGGTGACTTTCTCTCGGGCTGGCTCGTCCCTCTGGATGTCGGCCTCGTCGATGGACCTCATGTACAGGAGGGCCCTCCTAGGGGGTCGTCTTGGCGTGGAGATGGGAGTGGCTCAGCCTGTGGGCGCGGCCGTCTCTCTGGGCTGCTGCCCTGCCGGGGGCTGGGCGCCTGGCGGGCCTCGTGCGCTGCGGCTGCGAGTTCCCGGATAGTCTCCTGACTGCAGTCTGGCCTGCCCCCTTTCCCTCCTAGTTTCCCTTTGTCAGCCCTTTTGTCGCGGATTTCTTCCATGTCCTCTCGGAAGCGGGCCGTCGCGCAAGGCGCCCAAGTGGCCGCTTCCTCCTTGTCGGGGGGGACTGTCCACAGCACTGTCCGCTTGTGGGGGCCGTCTCTGCCGCTGGGGCCGTTGATTTCGGTTTCCCCGTCCTGCTGCGGGGGGCTGTCGACCATGGAGACGGCCCTCTCTGGATTGTCCCCCCCCCAGTCTACCCCGAACGCATTGTCGCCGTTACCGTGGGAGCCCCTATCAGAGGATGGTTCCTCCTTTATCTCCTCGGTCGCTTCCGCGGCTCCTGGGGGCTGCTGGCTGAGGTCATCACCGGGGGCGTGGCCGCCCGAGGCTGGAGGGCGCTTGTGCCAGGCAGCGGCTGGGGAGCGGTCTCAGGCGTCGTTGCTGCTCTGGGCGCCAGGCTCGCCAGCGAGGAATTCCAGCGTTCCCCCTGCGAGATCGTCCCTCCTGAAGGATAAGGAGCGGTGCAGCGTTTCCAACGGCTGCCGCCGGGGGCCTCGCCCTCTTTGGCAGTCGAGCGCGGCCGAGAAGGAGCGCCAGTCCCCCTCGAACTTTTCTTTACTTCCAACCAGCTGCGCACCGTAGATGGAGTGGAGGAAGCGCAGCAGCTGGCTGCGCGGCCAGTCCGATACCTCGCTGTCTTCACCCACTTTGTCTCCAACCATTTCCCCACCGAAAGTCGACCAACGAATGTGCGCCTCGCGGTTCCATTCCAGCAGGAACTTCACGAGTTTGCGTACTGGCCTGTACGACTGCTCTCCTTCCAGGCGGAGGGTCGCGTGCGTGGGCAGCTGGGGGGCGTTGGGAGGAGGGAGCGCAGGCAGAGTGCGCCCGAGCGTGGCATTGCCACTGGGGATCCTCACCGACCGCGCCCCGAGCCCGGGGGGGATTGCCTGCGGAGGAGCGTCCTTTTGCGGATGTGCTGACAGGAGACAGGTGTGCACACATGTCGTAGATGTCCCACTCCTCAGCGCCTTCGCTAGTCACCATGGGGACAGGGCTGGGGGGTAGATCTCGTTGGAGCATGCGTCCAGCACCTTGTTGGGAACGCTGGGTGCGACGTCCCAAATGTGCACCGAGCGTCTCCTGCAGGCCCAGCTGGCGTCCCATTGCCTTTTGGTCCACAGCGTTAGCATTGCTTCCCATGCTGGGAGGCCTATGTGGTCGCAGCACTGTGCGCCTTCTTCAGGGCGCCAAATGAAGCGCCCCAGGGCGGGCGTGCCTGCCGACCATTCGAGCCCTGGGGTGTGCGCGGGGCAAAAGTCGCACTTGGCCGAGTAGCATTTGCCACGGTGCGCCTCCGCACCGAACCTGCCGTCTGAAAGCCTTTGCGGTGGCAGCGCGGCGCCTGCGCAGGTGGGGCGGCAGCGGCGCGTCGTGCGAAGTTGGAGCTCCTTGAGGGAGACCTCGGCTGCAGTGCCCTTTGGTTCCTGCAGCCCTGCGACCACGCAGCACACTGGCGAGGGCGCTTCCACTGCCGGGCAACCTAGAAAGCGGCGCGCCACCAGGAACGGAGAGCTGGAAACCACGCATTCGAGCTCAGGTACCGTGGCCAGGAGTGACCAAGTACAGACTGACCATGTCGCCGCGGGGCGCCAAGGGCCAGAGCCGCGGCTGCGGCGCGGAACATGCCAAGTAGGCGGGGACAGGGCGCCGGGGAAACACGGTGTCTGCTGGAAGGCTGCACCACCCGCGACACATCACGTAAACCCCGAAGTCGACGCCAGCCCCGGCAGCGAGGCGAGTATGGACCAGGCCCCAGGGGGCGACTGCACCAGGGAGCCTGGCCAGGGGTAGCGTCGTGGACGCCGCACGGAGGACCGCGCATTGCGCGGGGGGGTGGGCCGGGCTGGTGGGAAGTGACATCACCAGGCCGGCGGGGCTGGTGGGGATACGCGAAGCGTGAAGGATTACGTTCTCGCCGTGCTGATACACTGTCAGATGAAGCACCACTGTTCCCACTGCCCGACAAAAACCACGTTTCGGTCACAATTACCTTTGCACCGCTGCGCAGTGGTGACTGTGTACTAGCATCAACAGTAGAGACGGACCCAATCGCGGCTGCAAAAAGAAGTGCCTGGTCACCAACGGAATGGTCCTGTCCGACCTCAGGCCCCAGATCCAAGAAATCGTGCCGGCATCCATCAAAGAGTGATCGATTTGGGCAAAAGCCTCCTCGTCGAATGCATCCATCTTATGCGCCTGCAGCGAATGATGCGTTATCAATGGGTCGTCGGGCAGTTCGAAGAACGTGTTGGCGACCTTCGTCTCGCCAAAATGCCCTGGCCTCTGGGGGCTCTGCTCCGCCCCGCGCGCCGTCTGGCTCCTGGTCGCACCTCGAGCCTCCGGCGGCCCTTCGGGACCACTCGGGCGCCCCCGTGGAGCGGTCTCGGCGAGGCGCGGCTGCTGCAACATGCCTCGGGACCGAAGACCACCGAGAACCGACGAAGCCGTCGGAGAACGTTCGGGCGCGCCGCCAGTCCTCCCCCCTTCCCCGCCCCCCCCCGGGGAGCCCAGGCCCGGCGCCACCACCCGCACGGCTCCGCCCCCGGCGCCTCGGTGGAGCCCAGGCTCTGGACAAAAGCCGCCAGCTCGGCCTCGGCCTGGATACGGGGGGGGGGAAGGCGAGGCGAGTGGGAGGGCCAGGAGGAAGAAGAACCCAACACAACTTCGGTCAGTGATCCAACCAGGGGCCCCCGAGACCGAAGGCTATCATTTTCCAACTGTGCTCCAAATCCTTGTCTCCCACCTCAATGTTGACGCTCCCTTCAAGGGCAGTAACCCGTTTGTGTGTTCTACAGTTCATGGCGCAGCCTCAGGGAACGCCAAACGAGAAACGAAGGGGCCTCTGGACACGGCGAGCCTCAGCCACGAAAAGATTCCCCGACCTGGACCTGAGGGACGGCCTGAAAACCGGAGCCCCCCCCCGGAGACCCCAAAAAAGGTCTCTAGTTCAGCGTCTTGGCTGAATATGAGACTGCAGCCATCAGCATCCCATATGCTCTCTGTTCCCGCTCGTTGCTTGAGTTTCGTGACTTTCCTGCCCGATGACCGACCGACCGACCACCGACTGAGGAGGAGGAGAGAGAGAGGAGGAACAGGACAACAGGACTGGAAGGCAAGAGGACAGGAGGCCCCATGATGCCCATGGCTGCAGGAGACCTCTGGAGGCCACCGCTGGTCCGAAAGGAGCCAAACAAGACGCATCGATCCTCGATCCACCTTATCCCTCTACTGGAGTACGAGGAGGAGGAAAGGAGGCCATGAGTAAACCCAAGATGCATCCACGATGCTGCAAAGCATCCTCCTGCCTAACCCCTCCTCCCACAAGCTCCCACAAGTCTACCTACAAGCCTCATCTCTCGCTATCACAAGCGCCCCTTTGAAAGATCAGCACCTCGTGAACCTGCCACTCTAGCGATAAAATTGCTTTGAACAAAAAATGCCTCGGATCCGTCCCGCGAATGGAAAGGAATGCGATCCATAAAGAATGCGAGAAGGTATGATCACACAGACAAGCGAGGTCTCCATCCATCAAGATGCTCACATTGAGAGAGGACCTCACTCATCTGTACATATGCTGGGCCGTTTCACATTTTTGCCCATGACCCTATCAATTGTAAAAAAAAAAAAAAAAAAAAAAAAATCCAGGTTTTAAGTATTATCGGAAGTATCGAATAAGAGTCCCACTAGGAAACTGAATTTTCCCCGATCTCAAAACGTATGCAAAGTGTTAAGACGAATGCGCGTGACTCCAGAACGAGAGAGCAAGTTTGAAAGGGGGCTGGCATCCATCTGAAAATCGCCTGGGGGGTCCTCGAAACGTCTTAAGGGCCTCCTGGGACCCTCCGGGACCTCCCAACCGCCCCTTGGTTTTACGCCTAAGTAAAGTTTCTTGGCGGCCCACCGCGCGCCAAAAACGAGCGGAGCCAAAAACAGTGCGTTTCGGATGTACACATACATACATGCATACATGCATACATACATAGGGACAGACAGACAAACAAACAAACATGCATACATGCATAAAAGGCATGCAAACGTAATACATGCATACAACCAATCAAGCATACCTACACACTTACATACACACACATGCACATATGAATGTATACGTATGTGTATATATATATATATATATATATATATATATATATATATATATATGTATGCGTATGTATGTATGTGTGTGTGGTGCGACATGGTGTTATCTACGCTGTGTATTTTACTCGGTGCTGTCACCGTGGCGCAAAAGGTGCGCGTGCCACTCTATGTGGTACAAACGGCGGGGTGCAATGTGTATCGCGAAACCTGCTGTATAAGCATGGTGCCGCATATATGATGCAATGTCAGTAGTGCAGCGTATGCGGTGCAATCCGTCTTGGGTGCCCACGAAACGTCGCCGATGACCATGTTTTGGAACCGCCACGACCCCCGAAATAGCCGCCGAATTCCAAAAGAGTTGCGTTTTTTTTTTTTTTTTTTTTTTTTTTTTTAAAAAAAAAAAAAAAAAAAAAAAAAAAAAAAAAAAAAAAAAAAAAAAAAAAAAAAAAAAAAAAAAAAAAAAAAAAAAAAAAACGTATGCAATGCTGGGCGCGCAGGCCCGCCTGCAACGCCCCCCGGCGAACATCCGTTTTTTGAACAAAACATCGCCGCGGCCGTCGCAATCACCACCACCAATACAACAAGAGAACACATGTTACATTCATCATCGCGCTGCGGGCACGTCAGCCTGCGCCGCCGCACATCGACTCTTTGCCGCAGCCGAGTGCTGCGTGCTCCCAGCAGCATTCGTCGACAGCTGTCAAAAGCAAAACCGCCGACATGGTCCTTGAAAGGGCCGCCAGGAGGGCCGCCGAAGGGGCCGCAGAGATCGTCCGCGAAATCGCCGCCGAAATTGCCGCCGAAATTGCCGCCGAAATCGCCGCCGAAATCGCCGCCGAAATTGCCGCCGAACTTGCCGCCGAACTTGCCGCCGAAATTGCCGCCGAAATCGCCGCCGAAATCGCCGCCGAAATAATTGGGAACTCCGCCAAAATCGCCGCCGAAATCAGCCGCCAAAATCGCCGCCGAAATTCAGCCGCCGAAATTGTCACTGCCCTGTCCCAAGCGAAATCACCATTTTTATCAAGCTCGATGACTCCGCGGTCACAGGCATCGAGTCACAGCCAAAGTCAATTTCGGCCTCTTTTCGGCGGCACAGTCCGGAATTTCGGCGGAAATTTCGGCGGCGGGTTTGGCGGCAATTTCGGCGGCGATTTCGGCGGCAATTTCGGTGGCAATGTCGGCGGCAATTTCGGCGGCCCTGTCGACGGCTCTTTCGGCAGCCCTTTCGGCGGCAATTTCGGCGGCCCTTTCGACGGCTCTTTCGGCGGCGCTGCTGTAGCCAACTGTCGACCATGGCTGCCGGGAGCTCTGGGCACTCGGAGGCCCCGGCGGGCCCTGAGAGGGCCCTCGAAAGACCTCGCCAGAAAGCGTCTGCGAAGTAGCTCAAGCCACGAGTGATTGGCACGCAACGTGCATGGCGAATTCCCCCTCGCAACGTGCAGGGCGAATTCCTCGCGTTATGCATCAGCACGCTCTACGATGCACATGGAAACCACCGCGCGACAGGGCGCGCCTGCACGCCGAAACCATCAAGAAAAACTCAATGTCGTTTGGAATGAATTTCCGCGCGCGCCCATTTTCGTCTCCAGAGAAAGTGCCACTACGAGAAACGCTCAAGGACCCCCACCAGCCGAAAGTCTCGAAACGCCCAGCCGAAAACCCTGCACCTCCCCCCCCAACTCACGCGGGCGCCCTCGACACACAGGCAGCCAGCGGCGCACATGGGCGCCCACGGACCGACCACGGGCGGCCCCCAGCCTACAAACGGGGAAATCCAGCCAACGCACGCGGTTGCCCACATAGCGCCCCTGCACGGCCAGCAGTCGAGACCGGCACCGCCACCAACCCACGCAGTCGTCCTGGAGACGCCCACAGGCCGAAAACCCTGCGGCGCCAGCCACGCACTTGCGATAAATAATCATAACCCGTCGGCACAAACACAGCTTGGGAAACATATCTGGCTGCGGCCCATCCATGGGGCCCCCCAATCAGCAAATGAATATAGTCCACGGAGGCGAAACAACAACGCCAAGAATCCCACTAGATGCATCCACGGGACTACATGGGCACGTCCGTAATGAACGCATACAAAAACGGTCTCGTTCGCGGAATAACTAACAATCAAAAAGAAGAGGCCTACAGCAAAAGGGTCGTGCAAGAAGTGGCGGGTACCACCATTCGCGCGGCTGCAGAACATGCGACCTATCACCTCCGCACGACGTATAAGGCAGGATCCCCACACCAGTCGTTTGACAAATACTCACTGCGTGGAGCTCCCCATATGTGCATCTATTCGCATGGACCTGTCCACCGTGAGTGTCTAGGCGCAAAAGAGGCTGCGAATATAAGCGGGTTTCAGTTGCGACGGTCTGGACATGAATCTAATTGCGAATGAATTGGAGTGTGAATAAGCCTCAGTAGTACGAGCGCGTCTCTGCGCATGAGCCTGGGGCCTCCTGGGGCCTCCTGAAACAGACTGGGGCTTCCTAGGGTCTCCAGGAGCCTCTTGGGGTCTCCTGGGGCCTCCTGGTGAGGTTTCGTGCCCCAGGAAAGGCCCAATATATAGCAACAGACGTACATCAAACATTGCGGATTAGAGCCGCAGGAGAAGGGCAATATATAGGAACACGCGTAAAACACCAAGGACTTGTGCCCCAGGAGAGGCCCAAAATATAGAAACATAAGTAAACCATTTAGGAATGTGCACACAGGAGAAGGACAATCTACAGAAACATACGTATAACATCAACGAATCGTGCTCCAGGTAAGGCCCAATCGATAGGAGCATACGTAAAACACATGGGATTGGAGACGCTCCGATTGCCTTCTGAGGCCTTCTGCTCCTGGGGCCGCTCGGGGCCTCCGGTTGCCCTCCGAGGCCTCCTGGCGCTTCCTGTGGCCTCCTGGGTCCTCCTGTGGCGTCCTGAGAACTTCTGGAGCTTCCTGGGGCCTCCTGGAGCCTGTTGGGACATCCTGTGGTTTCTTGAATCTTTCTGTGGCCTCCTGGTGTCTCCTGGGACCTCATGTGGTCTCCTGGGGCCTCCTGGAGCCTGTTGGAGCCCCCTGTGGCATCCTGAGAAGAATCTGCGCCCACGAGCCTGGCCACCAAAACAAGCAAACCGACCATGGCATCCTCAAAATCTGTGAGCGCCTCGCTCGAGACATCCCCCAAATCAGCTCCGACATGGAAAAATGCTGGGACAGAGAACAGGCAAACCGCTTGAGACATCCCCACAAAATTGCCGCGAACGGGACCGCGCAATACCCCTCGGCGGCTACCCCTTAGGGAGGTGAAAATGAGCGCCTCGCTCGAGACATCCTCCAAATCAGCTCCGACATGGAAAAATGCTGGGACAGAAAACAGGCAAACCGCTTGAGACATCCCCACAAAATTGCCGCGAACGGGACCGCGCAATACCTCTTCGGCGGCTACCCCTTAGGGATGTGAAAATGAGCGCCTCGCTCGAGACATCCTCCAAATCTGCTCCGAAAGCGA